CCCAGTTGGGCTGGGCCCATGGCTCCAGCCTGGCCAGGTCCCTCTGCAGAGCCCTCCTCCCCCCCAGCAGATCCACACTGCCCCCCAGTTTGGTGTCGTCTGCAGATTTACTGAGGGCACACTCAATCCCCTCACCCAGGTCATTGATAAAGACATGAAACAAGACCGGGCCTAGGACTGAGCCCTGGGGGACACCGCTTGTGCCCGGCCACCAACTGGATTTAGCTCCATTCCCCACGCCCCTCTGGGCTCGGCCAGCCAGCCGGTTTTTAACCCAGCGAAGAGCACGCCCGTCTAGGCCATGAACTGCCAGCTTCTCCAGGAGAATGCTGTGGGAGACAGTGCCAAAGGCTTTGCTGAAGTCCAGGCATCCAACATCCACAGCCTTCCCCTCACCTACCAGGCAGGTCACCTGGTCGTAGAAGGAAATCAGGTTGGTTAGGCAAGACCTGCCTTTCAAGAACCCACGCTGGCTGGGCCTGATCCCCTGATTGTCCTCCACGTGCCTGGTGAGCACACTCAAGATGAACCTCTCCATAATCTTCCCCGGTACCGAGGCTTTCCCCGTGCCGGCGTCGGCGTTACCGTACCTGCCTGTACACGATTTTGGCGTGTTTGAGGATGGCGATGATGTCTCCCACCACTGTGATACCCAGCTCGTTCATGATCTCCTTGTTCAGATCCATCAACATGTTCTTCTGGATCCTGCCGCGAGAAAAGACGCGGCTTAATGAGGTCTCCCCTCGTTACAGGCTCTGGGTCATTAAGCCTTGAGCGAGGTGCACCGTGACATCCCCCAAGTGACATCCCCCAACTGGGGCTCGGATGCCACCACCCTCATAGGAACAGCACTGATAACGAAAAAAAAAAAGCTCAGCACAGACAAATCGCTAACGTAACTAATTAAGGAGTGAGATAATCAGTTAATTCCTTCCCCTCCCCTCACCAGAGGGATCTTTCAGGGCTATTCTCGCCCCGTGATGCGACGAAAAGGCGCCACCTCATTGCTGACCTCACCTGTTATCCACGAACATGACAGCGTAGTTGACGGCGGGGCCCGGGGGGATCCCAGCTTCCTTGAAAAACTGAATCCATTCCGATGTCGCTGAAAGAAAAGCCGCAGAAAAGGAAAAAGTAAGCGGACGTGGAAAAAGGGCTGGGGTGGTCGCCTGGGTTTTGGCAGG